CCCCCCCCCCCCCACCCCCCCCTCCTCTTTCTCCCCCCGATGGACGTTTTGCATCCTGAAGTGGATATATATGCTGAAACACAGCCTAATTGCTAGCATCTCTCTTTTTGCATCTCTCCTCCTCCCTCCCTCTCTCTCTCTCTCTCCTCTCTCTCTATATATATATGTGTGTGTGTGTGTCTGTCTGCGTTTTAGCAGGACTCACTGTTTTGGTAGGCTACAGAGGATCATAAAACTCCTGCTTAATTTCTTTCTTTATTGTTAAAACTCCTACTTAGTACAACTATGCTAATTTAAACATTTAAATCCATAGCTTAAGGGTGTAAGTTAGACCGTTTAGAAATGAAGTGGTCACCGCAGAGACAATGTTTAGGTTTGTTGTAAGAGTCAGATTGGGTTGTAGCCTTGTAGGTACTCTCTTACTAAATGAAAAACAGCTTGCAGCTGGATCTTTTGCACCAATTTCTGTGTATGGTGCAATTGGCATCTACAACTGTGTTTATCTCTAAAAGAAGTGATTAAAACTTGAACACATGTCACTAGAGTAGCATCTCTCTCGCACCAAGACTTGATCTGGTATCAGCCTTATGTTCTATGTTCTTTGAAGAAGCTACATTTCCAAGACCTGCAGAGTTAGTCTAAGTTTAATCAAGCCCTCTTGGTCATCTGTTGTTGCCAGAATTCAATTGCATTGGACCAAGAATAGTTTTGCATGTGAACCAGGAGGTCACGGGTTCGAGCCGTGAAAACAGCCTCTTGCAGAAATGCAGGGTAAGGCTGTGTACGTAGACCCTTGTGGTGCGGCCCTTCTCCGGATCCCGCGCATAGCGGGAGCTTAGTGCACCGGGCTGCCCGATTATACGTTAGTTACTTAGCTTTATCCTGGAAACAGCATCTTGAAGTTATTTGATGTTTCATTTCCTCTATAGGGTGAGTGTGTCATGGAAGTCCTAAGCAACTGCAATATTTCACAAAGGCAAGTACGTGTACAATGGTGGAAGCTCGGGAGGTGGTTTTATGGCTTTCGCTTGCGCGATGAATTACACACACGTACTGTCTCTTTAGAAGATCTTGCAACAGGGAAGGAGGAAGAAGTTCTCGGGGTACTTCACCGAGGTGCAGTACACGAGGTGATACGCGTTCAGATCTCAGCTGCTAAACCTGCATACACATCCTGGTCATTCCAAAGTGCACAAGACCCAAACTAGTAAAAGGTTATTGTATATCATGTATATATCGGTTGTAAGTAATTCACCTATACTTCTGCATAAGATAAAAATGAAAAATTGTAAACACTCAAAGTTTACTTGCAATGTATCCTTTTATATTTATGTTCTTGTAAATAACAAAATCTCACAGGGGAAGAAGCCTGTGTTAATTGTAAAATTGATGATTGTCGCGTGTAAAAAGCTGCAATGTTGCATTGTTTGTATGAGTGATGATGTTATCCCACAAGAGTTGTATAAAGGCTTCACAAGTGGTTTATATAGGTCTTGGGCCTCTCCATATGGTTTTGGTTTTGGGTGAACGCTCATATTCTTTGGGTGAAATTCAAAGATAGCCAGATTTACAAGTGATAATTGAAAAATAGCCACATTTCAAAAGTAATCGAAATTTAGCCACTTTTCATGTAAAGGTAAATCTGAACGAAAACACTGTTCAAAATCCGGAAAATGGAAGTTCATAGAAAGGTGTTCCAATCTCCAGTATATTATGTTGGAACTTTCCGTGTGTTTGAGTTCCAGCGTAATATGCTGGAAGTTCATACACAGGTGCACCAATCTTTAGTATATTATGTTGGAATTTTCCGTGTTGCAGTAAAATAGTGGCTATTTTTCAATGACTTTGTACACGCTGACTATTTTTCAATTACCAGTCCGAAAACTGGCTAGCCCGTGCTATTTTCACATATTCTTTGACATTGTATCAGAGTCCATCTTTAGTAAGCCCATTATTGCACTATTAAGCCCGCATTAATGTTGTCAAAAGAGGTTAATAGTTGCCTTGAATCATTCTTTCATTTGCTGATTATATTGAAACTCTGGTTTACTACTTTCTAGATTGTAAATCGGCCTATCAAAGGGATGGTTTCAACAAGGAAAATTTTCAAGACATAAATGATGTTAGAGAAAAGTAACCAATATATTAGCATACAGAAGAGGTTAAGCTGCTCTTAACGCCTCATATTATGTCATGGTTTAGGCACTAAAGGCCCTTTGATTGATTTTTCTGCAAGTTAACAATATATTGCTAGCAATATGTCTCGTCATAACAAAATCGTATTGTCCTAGCTAGGGTGCATCAACGTTCAGTCATCGGGGTTGTGTAATTAATAGTATTTGGGACTGATATCACTAACCGTACTAACTTTGGTGTGGAAGTTATGCTTGAGCGTAATGCTTATAACCTCCATCTAGATGACCTAGCGGCTACTGAAGCCCCATCTACAAATGGATAAAATTCTAGTCTAGTCTATAAGAGGTCTAGAAAAGAAAGGAACAATAATCACTTTCTTGTTCTATCAAGAGGGTGCTATATTTCATTGATTTTTGTAAGGATGGATGGAATGAAATATTGAAGAATGAGTCTTGTTCCAAGCAAACATAATAAGGCACTACAGAAATACCATGAGGATCAAGGCATTTCTTGTTTACAACAACAACTGCAAATTCAGTGGAATCTCACAAGTAGGGTCTGGGGAGGATAGTGTGTATGCAGATCTTACCCCTACGCTGAGAAGGTAAAGAGACTGTTAGACCCTCAGCTCAAGAAAGATGAAAAGAAACAGTAGAATAGGCATTTCTCGTTTGCTTTCATGATTCTACAAGTAAATTTGAAGTCAACTCTAAAACGAAAATTCAAAGTAGATATTGATTCATAAGATATGGAGATTCATGATTGACAAAGGTTAAGAAAGCAATTAAAACAGACACTACACAATCAAGAAAAAATGAACCAACGTCACAGTTTATCTTAACTACATGCTCGTTATTTCATCATTTAAACATCTTTGCCTTTTGAGTAGACTTTTATTCGATCAATAATTCAGAGTAACTGACATGAAAGGAAAGTTACACAGAGATCTTTCTACGAATTTGTAAAGATTTTACACAATTGGGAGATTGAAACTTCAGAATTATTTTGTTTTACAAATACAATGAGTGATAACAACAAGATGGATTTTAAAAAAAAATCTAACATCGATAAACCAAGAAACCTCTCAATTTTGGTGGAGAGTGGCAGATGATCATCAACACAAGAGTTAAGACCATCACTAGTATTATCTTCAAGTTGTCATTACCACCATCATCTGATTCTGAGCAGGAGCAACAAGATTTCCCCATTTAGCTCTAATTGAATTGTGTCTGCACTTACCTGTTAACAATTAGAGGGAAGAGAACAATGGCCTCCAACTTCTAAAGGTTAATTAACATTGGTGGTATTTGACTTTGATAATTATATTCTTTTGCATAAACGTGGAAGATTCCACTCTCTTGGGGTGGGGTGAGTTGGCTTCTTAATTTAAATTAGATTGAAAATAAAGGTTACAAAAAAATAACATTTTTTAAAATATATGTTAAATTGTATTTGTACCTTAAATGTCCTACCAAAACACATTGATAACTATAGGGAAAATTCTTCTATATTTTTCATTTATTTATCTTCTTCCGACTTCTAAATTTGGTAGGACATTTAGATGTTATTTGGTTCAAAACATGGATATTCCAAGATTATAATTCTCGGATTATAACCTGGACTTCTTCCTCTTATCTGAAAAAGACATTGCATAGCCGAACTCAAAATATGGCCTAAAATATATAGATATTTTTGTATATATATACACATTTATATATGTTATAAACAAAAAATATACAAATTTATGAGTATATTTGATTCTGGCCTGAATGAAATTTCCAAGCTACAAACTTTTCAACGTTTGCAAATTTTGGGTTAAATGGACCATTGGACCTAAATCAGGCGGGGGTGACAGTAAGTAGCAATTCACATTCCAGAGATAACTGAGTCACGAGGATCTAAAACATTATTGGGTATTATCATTTTTAGCCCGCGCCAGAAACTATTTACATCTGATAGTCGAAAAAATATATAAAATTTGTACAATTTTTGTATATAACATACTAACAAATTTTATACATTTTTTCAGCTATTATTATTTCAGCGGCAATTTAGTGTCATTTTTCTAACATTATTATATGTTCCAATATGCTTGCACAAGATTGAAACTTGAAACGAAAGCTCCATAAGGACTAAGGTCAAGTCACAATCTACAAAGAAACAGAGAAAGAAACCGCAGAGCACGATCTAAAAAGAAATCACCACTGTGCTGAATCCAAGTAAGGAAAGTCGTTCGCTGGAATATTACATTTACTCAAACTCAAGATGCGTAAAAAACACAGAATAGAGCAAGCAAAAGGGCCATAAAAGATTGGAAGAAGCTAGGCAATCTCATCTCAAATATCTGAGGCGATTTTTACCTCTTGCTGCGATCTTAGCCATATTGTACAAAAAGTTTCAAGCTCCTGATGCAACGCAATCAAATGTCCAGGGCGGCAGGATTTACAGAAGTCCGACTTCAACTTGGATGGGATGTTTCTCCTTCCATGTCGACTGCAGAAGTGCATACAAACATCACTCATTTCACTATGATCTGTGCAAATCATGCCAAGTATTTGAACAAGTTCGGGTTATCTTTGTCTCTCTCTAGGTAATCTCTAGTTATCAAATCTTCAATTCTCTTCTTGATAGCTTTGACGTCAGGCTGTGGAGTTTTTGAAACAAAGAAATTAGCTCAGCTAAACTTAAATAACAAACACTATACTTGAGTAGGAAAAGAACTCATCATGTGGATACCTTGAACATGCGTCCCAACTGCTCAACACACTCCATGACTAGTTGCTGGTAGCCCAATACTTTACGACTCTTCATAATACGCACAATTGAAGCATCTATAGCGTACCGCCTATCCTTGTCAACATCTTCGATTACCTTTTTCTTCTCATCCACAGGTGGGAGAGGTATCTGCATTATCATTACACCAAAACCCTCACAGTTCAGTAACGTCAACAACTCATAATAGAAAGGTTTAACTTAACTCGTCACTAATTATACCTTGATCCTCCTCATTTTGTCAGTGAACTTTGAGTTGAACTCAAAGACATCAGTTGGAGAAATCGTTTTGGTGCTTGGCTCCTTGACTAGAATCTTATATTTCGCACATGAAAGAGAATGAAGAAGCCGAACAACATCATCATCTGATAGGTTTAGTTGCGTCATGATTTCCTGATAACTCAATCTATCTGATGCATTAAATAGCAACAGAGCAGAAGCCTATGAAGACGAAGGACGAAGTTTCAATCTTATTTTCTGATTGATAATGTCACAATAAAAAGGCTTCATTAGGTAAGCCAATCTGGTCAACTAACCTGATAAGTAGTGACAACGAGCTCAATAGTCTTTGGCTCAAATTTTCCATTTATGTTGCAAGTGCCCAAAGAGTATATCCACGTCAGTTTCCTGTGCTTCGTTTTTGTTTGATAGAACTCCTTGAATACTTCAACACACCTAACCTGATAATACATCAGCAGAAAATGTATCAGTGACATGTTGTTCAAGAAAACCAAGACAAATCAACTGCACAATGCCAATTAACAGATTGATATGATATACCATCTCTGCTGGGAGGTTGAGATCAAAAGACTTGTAGCTGGGCCAGAAGCCAGTAGTCAAGACAGTCACCGTCAAATCAATTCCAGGATTGACTGCTGGATTGTTGCTCAAATACTCCTCAAAGCTAGCTTGATTTTCTCTTGCCAATGTCAAATCAGTGACCTGTAGGAAGAGAAGAAGAACGTCACAAGAGAACAAAGCCTCAAATACAGCATAATAATCTAGATGGCGTACCATTCCTTCCATCTTTGATGTGAACTGGCCCCCACACTGCTGCTTCAACTTTGTCAGGATACTTCTCTCATGTTCATCATTGGCACTCTTATCAAATAACAACCGCCGGGCTAGCTTTTTCCTGGGAGACAACAATCGGAAATCATTAATTTGCAACAGAGAAGCTACTATCCTAGTAGTGGCTGAGAAGCACAGTAGTGGGGAACTCTACCTATAGAATTCTGCAAACAAGTCCTTATCACTAATATATGCTAGCAGCTTTACAACCTGCAAGTGAAATTTATTATCAGCTTTTTCCTGCTGCAGAGGCACGAAGAAAAAGCAGACATTCTTGAGGGAAAGAAGGGGAAAGGGAGCTATGGAGCAAGAGCTCACCTTCTCCAGAGTCTCTTCAATGGCTTCATCACTCAATTTCTCACTCCCACCTTTTTTGAGAATGTTGTCGCAGAATGTGGCAAGAAGTTCAGCACTTGAGCTACCAGCAACACCCTTGTTGCAGAAGACTTCAAAAGCTTCTTTAAGTGCCTACA